CCCTGTATATTACGAATAATTTTGAGAACGATAAAAGAAAGGATAAAATAATTTCACTCACTCAGAACTTTGATACTCATTATCTTTAATTGGGTTATTGTCCCAAGGCAGGTGGCCTTGAGACAATATCGGAACCCAAGATTTGCTGAATAAGTAGTTGAATTTATTTAGCAAGAATTTTTGTACCCACCTCAATACGTTCAATACTTTCTAATACAAAATTTTAAAAAAGTCCTAGTAAGCAATTTAATAAAAATTCTTAATTATTTCTTAAAAGAAATGAATAATAAGTATATCAATTAAACATACTCTACAAGCCATTTATCTGGTTTGGTAATTTTTACGTAAATACTACTTAGAAATGTCGTTTTATCTAATGAATTACGAGTGTAGAGGTCCAGTGGCGTGCATTTTTTTTCATGTAACATAATAAAAAATGTAAAAAAAGTCGAGTGTTTTTTTTTTCAAAGATAAATATAAAATATTTAGAATTATCTCAGTATTTTTAGTATTATCTCATAATCGCTGATAATCTAAGTCTAAATTTTTTCGAAATAAAAGTCCATAGATTATTTTATTGTCAGTATCATGTCTCCGGTATCCTTTTCAAAGACTTCAACCGTTCACAGTAATTTTAATTACTACACAATAATATTACGAAAAATAATTTCCATTAGATATCACTAAAATAGGAGATATATTTTTATAAATACACTTTACCAGCAGTATTTATAATACACAAAATTGAAATAATTGTTTTTTTGACAGAAGGAAATAAATTGTCTGATGGTTTGACACTTAAATGTCAAAGAAAGCTAGATAAAATCAAGAAAAAATTACGCTTTAAAACTAAATTTTAAATAACTTTTTAAAGCGATTTATTTTAGATATAGGAACATGTATAACCAAAAAAATAAGGAATTGAAAAACCTTTTCACTAGTGAAATAAAAAAGTAGGTTTCCATTTGAAAAAAATGAATTATGATCATTTTTTAATTGCCCAATTTCATGACAGATACGGCCAATCTTATATGACATTCGAACAATTTAATTTTTGAAATAGATAGCCACATGTCTTCTCTTTGTGCCACAGTAGCTGTGATAATCACTAAATTTGTCGTTTAGGCTATACAGATTTTTTCGACAGGCAGTTTTTCTCTCCAAAAATTTTAAATATTTTTTTTCTCAAAAACGGTTAATGTTAGGTATAGAGTGTTTGATATCAAAATCCATAAAATTTTACAGAGAATTTAAGTATGTAATAAAAAATGTGGGTACCCATTTAAAATAAGAAAGTTGCTGTCCACTTCCGTTATTTCCGGAAGTGTCGCCATATTGAAAATATTTTTAATCGATAGATCTGGCTGTGAAACAGTAATGTGCAAAAACTCTCCAATCTAGATATTGTAGTTCACTAAAAATATAAAATATAAAAAATAAATGTATTTATTATACTTAAACAGTAAACTTTATATAGATCTATTTCTTAATTTCTAGTAACCCACAAAAAGGTCTAATACAAATACCAATCCAATGGTCATAAATATATAAACCATTGAAGTTGATGGAAGTGATAAAATTACAATCTATAAATAGGTACCTGAAATAATTTCGAGGGATCGACTTTAACAAACAGCATTACTTTGTACAGGTTTACAAGATTTACCTGTATTATATGGATATTTAACAAGTGGGTAAAAAGTAAGGACCGACCGAGAACCTGGAATTTTAGTCCCGGCCGAGACCGAGACCGAGAGAAAAAGAAATTCTCGGCCGAGAACGAGCCCGAGACACGATGCAATATTTATTCAATAGTTTATTATATGAAAAAATATCTGATAATAATGTAATAAAAAAAGTTATTTTAATGCAGAAACAGTTTTATTGTCTATGTTATGTGGTTATAGGCTAAAAAAGTATTTTGTCAGCATTGTATCCTTTCAAATTATGCAGTGTTTCATCATATTCTCACTAAATAGTTGTTTGCTAGAGACGCTTGTTGGTGGTGCAGACTAGAAATGTATCAGCTGCTGGTTTCAGAACTTTGTATGGAGGTGAATAATTACACACAAAAATGTTACTTATTAGTAGGATATACGAGTAATTCATATAAAAGCACAATTCTGTTAAATTTATAAAACTTACATTAATAACATTTCGTTCATACGAAGGCGATTCTTCAGCCGTCCGAGAAATCCCCTTCGTGATTCGATCAGATCATATATGGAAAAAAAATGGAACATCTATTTTTTAGCCGGTCATACCAACGGGTATGGTAGGCTATTAAGATCGCCAAAAAAGTTTTTTAATTTCACTTAAAATGAGTTATTTGTGTCATAAATGACCTAAATACAAAATATTTTCATGGTGTCTGTCTGTCCGTCTGTCTGTAACACGAGAACTCAAAAACCGCTAAACCGATTTTAACCAAATTTGGCACAAAAATACTGTAGCACCCGAGAATCTGGCCTTTAGTTTTTGGTGGTGGTGGGGGGTTGGTAAGGGGATATGGGAGGGGGTTAAACATTTTAAAAAATCGTAACTCCAAAATTACAGTGGCTAGCGAAACGCGGTTTTCAATTTAAGATTAGGAATAATATTTGCAACAAAATTTGTAATACATCAAAATCAGTCAAAGTCGCAGTTTTTTTAGATATTCCGTGTTTCCGTAGTCCGTTTTTGAGAAAATCCGCGTGGAGAACTCCAAACTCCCATCGGTCGCGGCCCCAGGTGGCGGATAGGGGAAATAACCGCGGACCAAAATTGCAAAAATTCTTATCCTTTACTTTGAAACTAAAAGAACTGTCTACCAACTTTTTATTAACATATTTTAACTCCCGGCACCAATTTTTTCGACTTCGGACGAGTATTTCATTCATCGATGTATCGATAGATGGAGCGATACACTCAAAAATAAGCTAATTTGACGATAGTGGGCAGTCTCGGCCGTAGCCAATAATCTCGGCCTTTTTATACCGAGAACGAGACCGAGATCTCTGATTTTTAGTCAAGAATGACTGTAACCGAGACCGAGATCTCGGTTGGCCCTTAGTAAAAAGGTATGCCAGTTATCATAGTCAGCACCCCCCGTATTTGCCAGGTTTAGAACCCTTTTTGCTTCCGGCGACGGGAAGATTTTGAATTTTGTCCGTTAGGCAAATTTAACCTAACCTAACCTAACCTAAACCACTGTTGACAATTAGTCTCCGTTGGATTAACGCAGCAGTGTTTACAAAAATAACTATTTTATTTTGTAGATTTTCTTACAGTGGCAAGGGACTTTTTTTTAGGAACCCATAGGACTTTTTTTGAAGAAACCATTCTAGTTATCAACTTCGTAGAAAACTATTTTGCTCACGAGCTAACGAGATGGGACAAGTCAAGACAGTTCGAACTGCTAGATCAACCTCCGTGTTTTTCAGATTTAGTTCCTCTTCTTTTTATTTCCCAAACTGAAGTAGGACATCATCTTCACAAATAACTGTTTTGCTAAAAAAATACGCTAACTAGTATTCAGAAGAATCGACTTATCATCGTTGGGAAACGTGAATGGTTTAGCAAAAAGATTATGTAGAGATAAGAGGCTGTCCTCTGTCGAAAACACTGCGACCTGTGAGGTGCATTGGGTTTGTCCCCTAGCTATGTCTGCACTCATTCTCCTATCCCTGGTACCCTGCACCAACTTGTGCAGGTCCTCGATAGGATGGGAGCATAGATCCTCCGGTTCAAGGCTTGTTTTCACAAATAAAAACTCTCGCTTGCGATCTAGAGCCTCGCAGTGACATATTATGTGCGCCGCTGTTTCAGAATCGTTATCACAGAGTCTGCAACAAAGACTTCCTTGATGCAAGGTCCTGTCAAGGGCCCTGTTGTAATCTTAGATCTTATAAACTTCGTGGATAAAGCTATGCCATATGTATATTATACACGACTTTGTTTACGGGACTTTCACATGTATTTTTCTATTTATTTCTTTCTAGAACAAGATTATCGTATAAATCTATCCTTCTCTCTGCGTACGCTACTGAGCATGCGCAGAACGACATTAGACGTAAATGCTAACTTGGAGCGTTTTTTTCGCTGCGTTGACAACAATTACTAAAAATATAGACCACTAAAATTTTTCAGTCAAGATATAACTGATACGTGTATTTATTATTTTGAAAATATTTGTCATATTATTTCCAATATACTTTTTATATATATTTTAAACAAAAATTAAATCATATTATAACGATAAATTCTTGTTTAATGTGTTCATGTGCCGGCGGTACGGCACCGAGGGGGAGGAAAGATCACCGTTAGGAGAAGTGTGCAGTGTAACAAAGAGCTTGTGTAGAAAAAAACCTTGTCTTGAACTGCTAAACCACCCTCCTTATTGGCCAGATTTAACTTCTAGCGACTTCTTCACATTCTCAAAGCTGAAAGTGACGTTCAGATTAAAACAAATTTGTAAATAAGTAAGTATTTTGTTGCCAAAGACCTATATATACACTATTTGGACGGGTTGATGACTTAGGAACATCGTTTAGAAAAGTGTATAGCTACGCAAGATGATTATGTGGTAAAAAATCACAGGAAAATATGTTTAGTACCATTGTGAAGCGGGAAACTTTCCAAACTGCCCTCGTAGTACTTGAAAATTTTCATTTTTCGATCTTTTCGTAAACTTTTTCTTACCGGACGAGTAAATTCGGAGTTCCTTTCTTCCAACCTCGGGTTGATGAGTTAGAAACATCGTTCAGAGAGCTGTGTAGCAGCGCAAGAAGAGTATGTGGTCACAAAATCAGAAGAAAATATGTTTGGTAACATTGTGAACTCGGAAACTTTTCAAACTACCCTCGTAGTACTTAAACATTTTCATTTTTCGATCTTTTTGGAAACTTTTTCTTACTGAACGAGTAAATTAGGTGTTCCTTTCTTCCAACCTTTGCCTACACCGCTGGTTTGTCCCCTGTTCGTCAGCGAGACCGTCCGTTGCGCACGCAATATCTATTCCCGTCGCTCGGGCCCAGGGCGGGCTGCGGCACATGATCGGCGCTTCTCCGCCGCCTGCGCCTTCCTCCTCGTTCACTCGCAGTCCAGTGCGCGGTCCGTATACACCTGGACATCGTCGTCTTGCATACCCTCACGTTCGAGACACACACTCAAGTCCCTCGTCCCTTCGTAACCAAGCTAAAGAAAAAACAGCAGCATGTCTCTCGCAGATCCAGTTGCCTTCATGAAGGATTTCCTCGCCGGCGGTATCTCCGCCGCCGTCTCCAAGACATGCGTCGCCCCCATCGAACGTGTAAAACTGCTCCTCCAGGTACAGCACATCTCCAAACAGATCCCAGAGGACCAGCGTTACAAGGGTAAGCATAACGTCTCGTTTTTGTTTCACGTTTTTCTATACTTAAACGCCCATTCATGCGGTTACATAATGAATGACATAAGACTTCGTTCTTTAATCCCCTTCACGACCTATCACAAACCCTACAAACATAAAAAAACAACTTAATACAACCTAATTCAAACATTTAAACGGTAAAAAACGATTTTTAACACTTATTAGATGTAAAAATCGGAAGCAGCCATTTTCTTAACCTCGTGACGTGTTCTGCATGTAATTTCAAGGTTCTCTACGTCACAGATGCGGTAATTTCCTCTTTTTGAGGCTTCTCAGTCTATAACGATTATCTAGTGACCTATTCTATATCTCGCTTGACCCATATTCAATTTTTTGGCAAAAAACGGTTTTTTGTATGACCTTTCCCCTGTAGACGCGTGGCGCTAGGTTTAAGTAAGCCGCGTTGCCATATTTAAGCGATTCAGCAACATACTTAAGTCACTAAACCGTTATTTTACTACAATCCCACTTAAAAAGGTGATATTTTTAATAAAACCGTATTAGAATTGATAACATATCTTAGATAACCGTCCTATTACAAAAGCCCTTCATTTAATTGAATGAACTATATGTTCCGGGGTACATGGCAACCATGCAATGACACTTTGCACGGGTGTGATCGATAAAACTTTCTGCGCGCTCTGTTGCCAAGTTTCGTAATAATTTTTCCAAAGTCTTGTAGTAGCACTTATAAAAAAATTATCACAATAAACGTATCCTGATAAAAATAAAGATAAAGTATGCGATAAATTAATAGTCATCTATATTGTCTTTTTGACTTAGTTATCACCCAATCAAAAAACAGTGCAATAAAAAAATTATTCACACAAAAAAATGTACATTTCATTAAAATCATCATTAATTTTGTTAAATTTTAGGCCTTTTCTGTCTTTTTTTCTCAATAATTTCCATGTTCCTATGGTAATATAGAGAACAAATATTATTAATTTTTAGGGTTCTGTATCTCAAGTATCATTAAGATTAAGTGCGAGTCGGAAAGGGTTCCGTACCATTCATTATCTGTACGACACTATATTATTATAAACTTTTTTTCCGATTTAGCTGAAATTTTGAATGGGCGTATAAGTAATTAAAAAAAAATGAAGAAACACATTACTAAAAATTGTATTAATCAATAATAAATATGTAAAATGTTTAAATAAATATGTAAAAATTAAAAAAAACGATTAAAAAAAGTCGCCTTGACTAGGATTCGAACCTGCCTTACTACGGCTCCAACGTCATAGCAGCGTAAAGTCCTAACGCTTTAAAAGAAAAGAAAGATTCTATGTAAAAGTCTTACTTAAAAGATAATGTTTAGAGAAAGTACTTTTTTATTTATAAACATTTATTTAATTCTGTTTTTAGTATTTGTTCTTATAGCGGCAACATAGATACATTATCTGTAAAAATTTCAACTGTCTAGCTGTAACGGTTCATAAGATACACCTTTGTGACAGATGGACGGACGGACGGACAGCGAAGTCTCAGTAATAGGGTTCCCGTTTTTACCCTTCGGGTACGGAACCCTAAAAAGGGATAAGGTCCTTTATACAGCAAAAAAACTCAAGGAAATAAAAATTTAAAGGGTATTTTCCATTGACCTCGAACTATAAAATTTGGCAAATAATACCATTTTATACTACAAGTATAGTGAAAAATCTGAGAGCTAGCTATACGTTTTTAATTAAATCATAAAAAATAAAGCTTTATACGTTTTAATCACTCATTTCGAGCACTATTTTCAAATATCAAACAAATTCAGGATTTTTAACGCAATCTGACAACACCGCGCGCCAACCTCGTTTTAAACAGATGCCAATTTTCTCTCGAAAAGCATGGCAATTTAAAATAATACTGCGTCTCTGTTTTATACAGGACACTTAACAAAACGTTATGTAAACCCTACGTTCCACAGATTAAAAACAGACTATTTTTAGCTCTGTTCCTCTAATTTTTCGAATTTTTCTAACGAAATTCGCGTCTTAAAATCACGGGAGTTACGTGTGACGTAGGCGGACCACGTTTTTGTGACGTAAGGCCTACGTCAAACGCAGAAATTTTATAGAAGAGGGTCAGGTCAAACCATGATACACAGATGTTTAATGAAGGGTCAATTAGTAATACTACACGGATTAGTAATAAATAATATTATTTTGATGAAATAAAATTTATAAAACAGGTTTTTCCATGCTTATCTATGGATTATATAAACAAATTGGGTTTGGATTTTAATTCACACAATCGTTCTGACTTTGAGACGACTTTATATGGAAAAAGTTTATCATTTTCGTGATAACATTGTTGAAAAGTCTTATAAATTTTATCAGACAAAAGCTTGGCATTTGTGCGCGATAAGAAAATGAACAGTACTTACTTTGAGAATTTGTGAACGCATAATACTATAGGGAAAAAATAATGCAGATGGTACAATTGAGTGATGGCAAAATCACTTGATAGTTGTTATGCTGCAAAAAGAGATTCTCTGATTTTATTACCACTTTTATGTAATATTTATAATTACTAAAAGAACATTAAAAGTCAGAACAATAATTTTAATTAATATAATAATTCTTTCAAAACCGCTATAACTCACCCCTATAACTTTTTATTTTTTCAGATAAAAAAAACGAGATTTAGTATGTTAGTATATGACATAAATTAGGATTGATTGATGTATTCAACTGTTTTCGGTCACTTCCTGTTTCACCGGAAATGAGAACAACTTTTGTTTGTTAAATGACACCCTCGGTATTTTTTTACTTTATTCGATAGAAAATGACACTCTGAGGGTGCATCCACACTACACACGGCGTAACGACCTTGAATCGATTTCCAGTAATTCTATTGGCTGAAATTTTTGACAGATGAATTTGACAGACAAAACTTCTGACAGATGATTTTTTCAGCCAATAGAATTACTGGAAATCGATTCAAGGTCGTTACGCCGTTACGCCGTTTTTAGGATAGTGTGGACGCACCCTGAATTGAATGACATATCATATGTCAACTTTTGACATTTTCGCTTTAAAAAAAATCCTATTTTAAATTTCAGTCCAGAGTGCCATGGCTAATTTTTAATCAAGGAGCCTTGGAAAAATAGATTTGATCGTCTAATGTTTTTCGTGTCTTGTCCTGGCCTGTTAAAAGATGCCCACATCGTATTTTCAATCATATCTCATTTTTTTAAATGGAACGAGGGTGGCTCATTAGCATATTTGGAAAAAGTATTTTTTTTACGAATAATTTGGTACCACACACTCGGTATTTTGAGTCAAATTATCCTTGTGACCCGCATGTTACAATTTCAAATAAACCATATGAGAAAATGTCAAAAGTTGACATATGATATGTCATTTTATTCAGACGTCATTTTCTATCGAATAAAGTAAAAAAAAATCAAAAGTTGTTGTCATTTCCGGTAAAACAGGAAGTGGCCAAAAACAATTGAATACGTCAATCAATCCTAATTTACATCAAATACTAACATACCAAATCTCGTTTTATTATGATAAAAAATAAAAAAGTTATAGGGGTGAGCCACTTTTGAGACGCACCCGGTATATAGTTTGTCTAGCAAAAGAATATATGACAAGACAGTTTCCTGTCACTTCAATTCAAGAGTAGATTGCTTTTCATAAATATACAGTATGATTCAAAACCAAATTCACAGAAATGAAAATTCTTTATATTTTTCAACTAAGTAGATTTTTTTAATAGTGTTATTTTCAAAACTTTATTATAAAAAAACTTAAATTATACACTAAATTGCACGGTATATACAGGGTGAAACCTAACTATTTCGAATAGAACACCCTATATTTTGTGACATAAATGAGAAAGTTGAATGACTTACAAGGAATGAATAAATTTTTGACAAATAATGGTATAGAAAATCAAAATACATTAAAATAAAACAAAAAGTTGAACAAAAGTCCCATGTTGATTTATGAAATAATATACAGGATGTTCCACTAGAAGTAGAGAAGAAAATCATATCTAGTTTTGGCCCATTCTGTATACTAAATTGCTCGGTTTAGTCTGTTTAAGCATTATTATGAAGAAGTCATAAAATACTACCAGTTAAAAAACATAAAAATGTATTGACTTTTTTGGTTAGAAAATGGTTTAAATGTGGAAAAAATTTAATTTTGCTGTTTTGTAATATTGGATTACTTGTATACCTAATTTGTTGATAATTTTTTGTATATTATCTATGAAAATTACGTATCATGTCCTTGGACAGAGCATAATTAATTTTACCCAGTAAAAATTAAGTAAATTTTTATTCCTATTAAATACCTAATTTTTTTAACTTGGTATATAATCATGCAAACTTACATTTAGAGAGATTTCCATAAAATTCCCAACAAATTGTCATTCTTCAACTGATCCAACTCACGTAACATAAGTAAAGAGGATATGTAACATTCTTGTGTGCTATTACCTGAAGTTGTTCAATTTTTCTTCGAACTTATATCCCAATCCACTATCTTCGTTAACAACTTATCTCCATATCCAGATCTAAATAACATAATGTAAACCAACAAAATGACATTCTTGTGATAAATCTATTAGTCTGGTTCATCTAAAAAGTAAATTTATAGATAATTTTATCTCTTACACAACCTAAAGCAAAATTAAGTACCTATCTACCTTTCTGTCTTATGTAAAAAACAAATTTGATTTGTTTATGGAGAACATCTAACTATCTCTTCATTGAAATACAACTTCTAAACCATAAAAAACACATTCACAATTATGTAAATACCTATAAATTTCAATAATTTAAAATAATAAATTAAAATTACCCACAAAACTTTTAAAATAATCGTTACTCGATTAATTGACAATGACAATTGACATGCAAATTTCAAATCAACCTATCCTTGATCTCGAAGTCCATAATATTTCTATTAAAATGTTTTTGTTCGTCTATTAAACTAATTTGTTGTAACTAGTTTATCCTCTTATTTTTTCTAAATTATTTCCTTTTATTTCTGAATAATTAAATATTCAATAATAATAGAAAATAATTAATTATTATTTTTTCCTAAATATTAGAAAACCAATTATACATATGACAAGTTTTACTAGTTGCATAAGTGTTTTTTTTGACATTTTTGGTTTATAGGTTAAAAAAATACTGAAATTTAAAATTATTTTCTTAAAATGTAAGATTAATTAATTTAATTTAATTTCTTTTTTAGGTATGGTTGATTGCTTTGTCCGTATCCCCAAAGAACAAGGTGTATTGGCATACTGGCGTGGTAACACTGCTAACGTAATCAGGTAAAACTCAACTAACCACATAAAAAGTATCAGAAACTCATAAATTCATATTTTTTTCAGATATTTCCCCACTCAGGCCTTGAACTTCGCCTTCAAAGACAAATACAAGCAGGTCTTCTTGAGCGGAGTTGACAAAAAGACACAGTTCTGGAGGTACTTTGTTGGTAACTTGGCTTCTGGTGGTGCTGCCGGTGCTACATCCCTATGTTTCGTATACCCCCTTGATTTCGCCAGAACCAGGTAAGGAATTCCTTAGAATTTAATAAGTAATGAAACAGGGGATCTTTGTGGTATATAAAACAGTAAAACAAGTTAATTTTCTCCATTGGACATGTGTATTGTTTGTTTCTTTACTGTGTTATGTAAAAAAGTTAATATTTTGAGAATTCTGGGATAAAATAAGCAAAACAAATATAGAGAAATTAATAAAAGTTGGTGGGCACATCATCAAAGATGTTGAAACTATTACCAAATTAGATTTCTAAAAATAATTGTTTGTTGGAAACTTAGAGCGCCCTTTTTAAAGAAAAAAGACTACCTTCACCATTTGGTCTGAAATATTAGCATCTAAGGGACGTCCTAAGCCCCTTGGTGGTCTAGGGGCTGTGGAACATGACTTATAAAATTTATATGACAATGCCTGTGATATCTGGCACCCAAAATCTTGACAACTAAGCTATTGTTAGTGATAATATGAATTAGTTTGTAAAAATCTGAAAATTTTTGGGTTAAAGGATGTTTGCCCAGTTTTTTTATTGTCAGAAAATATGACTAAATTCAAACAAGTTCCAAAATGTAATTCTACGTATTCCTAATTCTACGTAAAAAATTATAAGGACCATTTTTGTAGGTAATTACTTAAGCTTCATTTTTTATTCCAGGAAAAATTTTGTAAATCTCATATTTTGGCAGATATTTGCGAAAAACTGATTTTTCGCAAATATCTGCCAATGTCTGCGCAAATATCTGCCAATCGAGCATGGTGTCACAAATTACCTATAACAGATGCGAAAGAACACCGAATTACACGTTCAGGTTTCTGTGACCTTTAGAAAGAGGTCATAGACAATCCGCATCAATGTATAGTTTGGGTTATTATTTGTTTGGGTAAAAATAATCTGCACCAATATGTTATCGAGGCATACAAAAAGGTCCACAGACTTCGAGACATACGAAAAATCAAGTCCATTCAGCGTGTGTCGCAATTTTCACACCTTACAAAATTAGTTTTTTATAGCTATAGCAACTGCAGCGACTATGAAAAAAGCTGTGTGATTTTCATAGAAAATAAGGGCACCTGTAATTCATTTGAGAATGTTATAAATCGCTAAAAGAGGTTTCAAATCTCTTGGATTTCTATTAATATTAAATAAATTTTATTAAAAATTGAACTAAAATTGTTAGTATCATTAAAAACAATTCAAATTCAAAAATTGTATCAGTCAAATTCTCTCATTTAAGGTGAATATTAAAGTAAATATAAATAATATACATATAAATACGTTCATTCTAAGCTCTACTTATCTTTAAGAAAAATTTAAATCAATTGGTATTGTTTTTTAATCCAAAAAAAAGTTACCAATTTTCTCAATCAAAATATTTGTGGTCTTGAAAGGGATCTTCGTTTTCCCATGTTCGTCAAGGTAGGTAATGGGTAAACGGTAAAAAAACAAGATAATGAAATTTAAAAAATTACAAAAATTGTTCAAGAGTGCCTCCCTCTTGCATTAAACAATAACCCAAACGATCATAAAATCCCCTCCTCACATTGGATAACATATCAGGGGTGACAGTGTCAAAGGCATTAAATATTTTCTGCCTTAACTGCTCCAAGTTTTGAATTTCTTCATGGCCGTAAATTTTAGATTTTATGTACCCCCATAAAAAGAAATCATTCACCGAGAAGTCAGGTGAAATTAAACGTCAGTCTAAACAAAACTGTCATTTTTGAAAACTTATTTGGACACACGCTAAATGGACTTGATTTTCCTATGTCTCGAAGTCTGTGGACTTTTCTGTATAATCTCACAGTAATTTAATAGATTGCTCGTCATATTATATCAGCTCGTAGGAAAAAAAAGATATTTATAGTATAAAAAATTAATTTATTTAACAAAATTTAATTAAAGATGTGACAAAATAGTTACATTTCTATTGGTTCTATCGGACTTTTTTCGACTATATAAATCTTTATTTTTTGTAAACTTTAATGCATAAAATATTTTCAATCTAATAAATAATTTAATGATTGTCAAATTCTATAGTTTTCATTATATCAAACAGCCTCTGAATGTTTTCTTCAGTGCAAAACTCATCAAAATTTAATATAAATAATTTTTCCAGCCTGTAAATAAAATGAACAAATTTTTCCACTTTCATGATGAAAGGCTATTAAATGGGTAAATAATTTCGAGTTATCCAGAGATTCGGATTCTTTTGCAAATTTTAGACAAATATCACATTGATGTATTTGAAGACCCTTTTTAATGATGTAGTCAAACATAATTAAAGGCATTTTGAGTTGAAAACATTTCTCAGAGGCTGTTTGATATAATGAAAACTATAAAATTTGACCACCCATGTGAGAAATTTCCTCTTATTTACATCATTAAATGATTTATTAGATTGAAAATATTTGATGTATTAAAGTTTACAAATAAAGATTTATATAGTCGAAAAAAGTCCGATAGAACCAATAGAAAGGTAACTATTTTGTCACATTTTTAATTAAATTTTGTTAAATAAATTTATTTTTTATTCTATAAATATCTTTTTTTTTTCCTTATAAATAAACACATTTGCATCTCATTTTAAATAAGATATACAGATTACCAAAACTTAGAAATAACAGTTCAAAAGTTCAACAAAAATCCTACACGCGTTTTTAAAAAGAAACATATAACCACGCACTATGTCATTCCAGCAAGCGAATACGACACAGCATAGGTTTCCGGACTAAACGACTGGTGTATTTACACCACTCAATAGGCGTGTCGGGTTTGCCGAGCGGTTTCCGATGCAGTCGCTTTCTTTCGCATCTGTTATAGGTAATTTGTGACGGTGTTACAATTCCCCCCCTAAAACTGCTCATAATACAATTAAATAATAATAATATATCCTTGTCCGTGAGCTTGCAGCTCTGCTTGAACTCCAACTTTTATTGATTTTTCTATACTTAATTTCACATTGGTAATATTGCAGAATTACGTTTTGATGATATGGAAATCTTTAATGCACGTGATAGTACTACTAAAAATACGTTTTGCCAAAGAATGAGAGGCATAAAAATACTAATTATTTTTGTTGTTCGACCTTGTCCTCTATTTATTTTTAACCAGTTCTAGAATTCGACCACAACACGCAAAAAATAGATTATCCAATAGACCACCTTGTTGGCTCATTCTGAAGTTTTTCAATGGTTTAATAGACCACTCACAGATCAAGCCGAACAATTCCAGTACGGTAGCCAGTTTGTGCCAGACATTTTTAAGAGAATAATTGACATTAGACATAGCACAGTATTTATTGTTTATTTCGACTTTGTTTGGGTGGATTTTGTACAGAGTGGTTCTTAAATATTGCGAAGATTATTCTTTGTTTTTTTTTGAAGGTTGTTACTTTCTTAAGAAATAGGAAAAATATTTATTTATTGCGATATTTAAAAATAGTTTCTCCAGAATCAATTCAGCATGCCCAGTAATAGTCTAAAAGCTAGCAACGTTTTCGAGAAAGTATTTTAAGACGTCTGGTTCTTTGATATATCTTTTACTATGCTCTCTGGAACAGCATGCGGCCAGTCTGGCTGCCGATACCCTATATATTAATCATTTGTAATGCCGATATATTAATCATTTGTAATGGTGATGATAAAGCAAAGCAAGCATTTCCATTAACATACAAACTGAATAAAATTTTCTCACATTTATGTCAGCATGAGAAAAAACAATATGGCGATATTATTATATAACTTGGTAATATTTGAGAGGTACTTTCATCTCGTTGGAATTTAACTTTCGAAAAATCCGTTTGCCAAAAATAAGCTTTTTACGTCAAGCAGTTTAAGCAGAATCGTGGTTAAGAAATTACCCAACTTATTGGAACAGCCTGTATGATTTTTTTAAAAATTTCAAAATATGTAAAAACCCAAACAAATTATGCTTGTCCAAGCGTTTTCCCGAAAGACTAACCGTTTTTTAAATAACAAATATTGTAATATTTGAGGGGTGTTTTCATCCTTTTGGAATTTGAGATTCCAGAAAACCCTCCTTATCGAACCTCTACACCAGGGTTGGAAAAAATCATGATTTTTTTTTAAAAAGCAGATTTTTTTGATTTAAATCATTTTTTTTTTGATTTTAATTCAAAACAATATTTAAATCGGATTTGCAAATGACTAGGACTTATTTCCAATTAAAGTCCTATCGTAAATGGCTAAATCTATCTAGATTAACATTAACAATTCTACGGTACAAAAATAGTACAAAAATATATTATTAAACTGATATTAAGTGTCAAATTTAACGAGTGTACAAATTGTTGTTCGATTACTGTTTATATTATTTGCAATGTTTGAAATTGATTAAAAAATTATTTGTTTAAAAAAAATGTTTTATTCGGAATAAAAATGTACTTTTTGTGCCTCCCTGTAACGTGGAAATAGCTTTACGATGGTCCTTCAAAGGTCAAAATCGTCAAAAAAAGTTTAATTTTTACTCCTAATAAATCAATACACTATTGTTCGGAAATAGTCTTAAGTCGGGAATGAAATTAGTATGTATTATCTAATATCAAAGTGTAAAGTACTTACTCATTGGCGTAACTACAGGGAGGCCCGGGGGTGCCGGGTACCCCCTAGGTACTGCTGGGCACCTCCCAGACAAATCTTGAATTATGACTCTTGGCTACATAATAATTTTTATTTGCTTGTGATGTAGTAAAAATTACGTTTTCTAGTTTTGTTTAGTTAATATTATTTTGTTGTGTTCAAAAAATGGGTTAATTTTTATTTTTTTGGAAAATTTGTAGGTATTTAAGTAATCTACGGGAACGCGGTCTGATAACCAAGTCTATGAAATTTATTGATAGAAAAATTCATGTAAAACGTTTTATTCAAAAAAATATGTTTTTAGCATTATTCTTCATTTTTTAAAAAACAAAAACCCTAGGCCCCCCTGGCTCAACCCCAAGGATGAATTCCCCCAGGATGAATTCCTAGTTACGCTAATGTACTTACCGCAGATCAAAATGTCGGTAGGAATTTGGAAACCGTTTTACAACCGTAATACAACCGTTTCAAAAAAATACAAAACAACATATTTTCTGATAAGAATTATAGATTCTCGGGAATAAAGATATAATCTCTATATTAGAAGAACCTAGTTCTGCACTAGACTTTGCGAATGATATGTATCTGAACAGCGAATTTTTGTCACTTATACAGAAATTTTAAAATAAATCCTTATGTTTAGCGGTCTAATGGATTCACACGAAATTAGTTCAAAAATCGGTCCAACAATTAAATTGATGAATAGATATTTTTATATAGTTTTATAACATTTACAATTATTTTTCGATTTATTATCTGCTACATCTGTTATAGAAAATTTTTATAGTTTTCTAGGACACATTTTTATAACTTTTTTTTATAACTTTACAGTTATTTTTTGATTTATTATAAAGTTTCAATAAAATTATTTTTTTTGATTTAAATCACATGATTAAAATTAAAAAAATCACTTGATTTAAATCTTGCCAACCCTACTCTACACCCTACAGTCAATCCGTTTGCCAAAAATCAGCTTTAAACGTCATGAAGTTTAAGCAGAATCGTAATTACTCAATGGTCATATTTTATGAAACACCCTGTATAAATTTATAAAAAATCTTAAAATATGTTAAACAACAAAATAAAATATACGTGTTTAAGAGTTTATCCGAAAAACTCACCGGTTTTTAAATCAAAAATATTGTAATATTTGAGGGATAGTTTCATCCCCTTAGAATTCGAATTTCGAAAAATCCCTTCTTATTGAACCTCTACACCCTAGTAAGTCAATCTGTTTTCTAAAAATCAGCTTTTTACGTCAAGCGCTTCAAGCAGGATCGTGATTAATCTATGACCAGATTTCTCGAAACACCCTGTATACATTTTTAAAAAATCTTAAAATATGTAAAAAAACAAAATAAAATATACGTGTTAAGCGTTTTTTCGGAAACTTGACCGTTTTTTAAATAAAAAATATTGTAATATTTGAGGGGTGGTTTCACCCTCTTGGAACTGGAATTTCGAAAAATCCCTTCTTATAGAACCTCTACACCCTAGAATCAACCTGTATACCAAAATTGAGCTTCTTATGTTGAGTGGTTTGAGCAGGATCGTGATTAATCAGTATGTCAGTCACTTAAGAATTTTATATATCAGTATAGATAATGTTGTATTAATACTTTACTATCAGAATATAAACGAAAATAAAAATAAAAAAGTCTTTGACCTGACCCGGATTTGAACTCTGAATCTTCGGTTCGTGTTCGTAAACTCTACGCACTGCGCTATGGAGACATGTTCGATTTATATTCAATACTAGAATTTAAATGACTAATAAAAATATAGGATCTTCTTTCAATGCGCAGTAGGGAACGTAACGTTTACCGGCAGCCAGACGGGCCGCATGCTGTTCTAGGGAGCTAGAGAGCATAGTAAAAGATGTATCAAAGAGCCAGACGTCTTAAAATACTTGTTTTTCCGACGTCGCTAGCTCTCGTACTATAAGAACGACAGATTTTAATCTGTCAAATCGGGCGTTTCCAGTGACAGTTAGTAGCTATTTTCTCAAAATCGAAATTAGTTTATGGACTTTATTTAAATTTATTGCCAGTTTACTGTTATTTAATTTATTTACAATAGTTTAATAAATAATATTTATTAAATATGTATTTATTATTCTATCAAGAAAAACGAAGAAGTTGTTGTTTGATTTATTTTACCATGACTTGTAGATATATTGATTTACTATAAAAGAGCCAATTACGGCAAATTTATTTTCTTCACTTCCAACGACAGGTTTCTGCCTAATAGATTTTTTTATAAACCACACTATAGTCTATAAAATGAATAACTTTGAATTTTGACCGTTATTTTTTACCAACATGGCAAATATAAAATCCCTCTGTCCAAAAAGTTACTGATATTCTTTAAAATGAGTGCCTGATCGAATCAGATAGGTAACTCTTTTTACTTTCGTGAAATAGAAAAGGAAAATAATAAAACAGGTGACAGTTCTTCCCCTTCTTGCAAAAATCAACGCAAAATGTCGTAATTGACAAAAGTAAAATGTCATCAGCCTTTGACATTTCTAAATATCAGACCAATGCCGTCTCTAATAGAACAGCCTCGAGCGAGATTTATGACTCACGCTAGTTAGATACCACGGATTAATAAATATGTTGTAGAATACACGGAAAACATAATTATTCCTCGTACTTTTGGTTTGTATTTTAAAAATGATATAGTTTACATGAAATATACATAATATACAGTTAATAAATACAATATATATACCTATTTATAGTAATAAATACATTGACAAATAAACTATGAACCATACAAATGCATCAAATGCTTTACAATATACAAATAATGAATAGGTACATAAGATACTGGGTAATATGTAAAATATATTTTAAATTTTGGTTTTTGAAAATCGATCTAATTTAACAAAAATATTCAATATCTAATACTATAATAGTGATGTATTATTATTTGGCATTCACAAAATTTATATGTATATTTTGCAAGCATCAATGTTCGAAAAATTATATTTGCAAATAATACAATATCATAGAAAAAAAGGCGTCAGCGATGGCTATGAAATAAAGATCGCTGTCATTTTATATGTAAAATTATTCTAAAATTTTTTGTTATAGCTAACGTTTATAGCCTTCATCAGTGTTATGTCATATGAAAAAAATAGTGTCGAATATAATCCTAAAAATTACATATACGAGGAATAATTATGTTTTCCATCATTCTACAACATAATTAATCCGTAGTATCTACCTAGCGTGACGTCATAAATCTCGCTCCGGGGCTGTTCTATTAGAGACGGCATCAGCATGGCCGCAAGTTGCTAACCTAATAAAATTAACACTAGAAAAGCCCGCGGGAACTCTCTGTGAAATAGGACAAGTAGTTTTCCAAAGGAACGCTTATCAGGAAGATTCCTATTTGGACATCTTTGAGCATAAGAAGCAATTTTCATCACAAAATAAAATCAATAGTAACATATCCATTCGTTCCGCCAGCAGATACTGCTTTATTTTTCTTGATAAAATGTCGAATACTTACTTATTATACTATTGTGGGTAAATTTAAGTAAACTGATATATATCTAAATAATAAAGTCAATAAACTAATATCGATTTTGAAAATAGTCACTGTCACTAGAAAATTGACATGCCATCTTAAAAATTCGCTTTTTATTTAAAATCTGAGCTAGATAGGTATAGGAAACCCTAATATAGTTTGAAAGAGCATTTGAATCTGCTTCGATTTATTTTAAAAAATATAGGCTGTTGCATTTGAAATAACGAAGTTTTTATGCAAAATACAAATTTAAAATAGATCAGCAATTTTTGGTACCCCTGTATAAATTTAAAGAAACAATACAATTTTTCAGTAAAGTTTATTTCTCTACCTTTAAACTCAACACAAGAATTAATTCTGAAAAGTAATGTACAGGGTGTTGATAATCTATGGTATTGTAGCATGCACATTTAAAAATCTTTAAATATCTTAAAAATCCAAGATTTTATACATATTTAAACCTTATAATAAATGCCTTTTTTAGGCCCAAGAATCCAAGAATGAAATACCGGGTGTTCCATAAGAAAAAAGATAACTTTGGTGTGGATCTTAATTCTGAAACACCCTGTATATTTCAAAATATTTTTAAATTGTATACATTACCTCACCACACATACCTATAAAATATTTTCTTTCTACATCTTTCCGTTTTCGTATAGTCAACCGAGGTGAATGGGGTGCGCCACCCACTATATCGATATTTTAAAATATCGATACAAAAAAGTATTGATATTTTGAAATATCGATATTTTTGGACATCCCTATTTTTATATAAAATCACATTTTTATGCATTTTTACTGATTTTCTCGTTATTTTTTCTATTGCAGATTGGCCGCCGATGTCGGCAAAGGCGCAGGCGAGCGTGAATTCTCCGGTTTGGGTAACTGTCTGGTGAAAATCTTCAAATCTGACGGTTTGGGAGGTCTCTACAAGGGATTCTTCGTCTCCGTCCAGGGTATCATCATCTACAGAGCCGCCTTCTTCGGTTTCTACGACACCGCTAAGGGTATCTTGCCCGACCCCAAGAACACTCCTCTCCTTATTTCATGGGCTATTGCACAGGTAATTGACTTAATAATTATTATATTAGACAAAACACTCTAAATTCTAAGGCTTGCGCTCTTTCACATGACGTCATCACTAGTAGGGGAGTGAAAATGTTACACTACAGTTGATAAAAATGACTGCGACTTTGATATTTGTTGAGTATTATACTATGAGACGTCTGTTTTGTGATTTGAATGAGTATATTAACCATTAAATTTCTTGCAAAGTTACACTATGGAGGGTACAAAGTTACACTATGGTAAGGAGAATTATCTTCGTGTCTTAAGCTTGTTTCATATAGACGCGAATCGCGAATTGCGGAAAGCGATTCGCCAAAAAATATTCGTAAAATTTGGACTTATTTCATACAGTCGCGAATTTTTAGGGACATTTCATTTTTGCTCCACTGAAAGTTACCAAAAAAATCATAACCTGAGATAACTTAATTTGTTTTTTATTCGTGTCTACGATCTTTATTTTATATTTTATAGCATACAATATGAGTTTAAATTTGTTTAATGATTATGAATATCGATTACGATTGTGGGATTGGAACAGAAGGCGCAAAATTGCCATTTACTTATTGTTAAAACGTAGAAGAGAGAACGGGTTTATAGGTCATTTGGGACATGTGAAATATTTAAATTTCGTAAGCAACAAGGGTGCTTATCGCAATTTAATTCAAGAAATGAGGACAAAAGATGAGAAAAAATTTAGGAATTTTCACAGATTGTCTGTACAGGAGTTTGATAACTTGGTAGAAAAATTGTCACCATATAATTTCAAAAATATATTATGCACGAGAACCCATTTCACCTGGAGAAATGCTTATCGCAATTTAATTCAAGAAATGAGGACAAAAGATGAGAAAAAATTTAGGAATTTTCACAGATTGTCTGTACAGGAGTTTGATAACTTGGTAGAAAAATTGTCACCATATAATTTCAAAAATATATTATGCACGAGAACCCATTTCACCTGGAGAAATGCTTATCGCAATTTAATTCAAGAAATGAGGACAAAAGATGAGAAAAAAATTTAGGAATTTTCACAGATTGTCTGTACAGGAGTTTGATAACTTGGTAGAAAAATTGTCACCATATAATTTCAAAAATATATTATGCACGAGAACCCATTTCACCTGGAGAAATGCTTATCGCAATTTAATTCAAGAAATGAGGACAAAAGATGAGAAAAAATTTAGGAATTTTCACAGATTGTCTGTACAGGAGTTTGATAACTTGGTAGAAAAATTGTCACCATATAATTTCAAAAATATATTATGCACGAGAACCCATTTCACCTGGAGAAATGCTTATCGCAATTTAATTCAAGAAATGAGGACAAAAGATGAGAAAAAATTTAGGAATTTTCACAGATTGTCTGTACAGGAGTTTGATAACTTGGTAGAAAAATTGTCACCATATAATTTCAAAAATATATTATGCACGAGAGCCCATTTCACCTGGAGAAATGCTTTCAGTTACTTTGCGGCAGCGTCGTCGTCGTTAAAATCATGTCTAAATAATCGATAACCGGATCACAACACCATTCTGCGCAAACGCTCCCCAAATTTTAAATCTTGCGAATCGCCAAAAATCTTTAAATTTCTGACAGCGTCGCAAAATCGCGATTCGCGCTTCGCGTCTACATGAACAAGGCTTTAAAAGGTGATCATCAGACAGGGAAGACTTAAGATGGCCCTGCTGTAGCAAAAGTTTTTACTTCTTACTATCATTACTCGCTGACGAGTATTTAAAATGCATCAGAAAAGTTCTGCATTTGAAAGAAGCTCCAAAATATTTGCGATTTCTGAAAGCCCGTGTTGCCTCTCTTTTTGGCCAACTTGATTTTATTTATAACCGCTAAGCTGAGGTTGATCCCTTATTGCTTGTCAGCGCCACTGTGTTCATTTAATGAACTTTTATGATTTTTATTTTGTTGACCACTTTTTCAAATAAAGTTCCATAAGAGATATTTCTCGTTACCTCTACCCTTCACACATTACACAAAACAAGACATTTCCATAGTCTTTTGAATTATGAGCTCTGTGGCTTTAATATTATAGGAGGTATTGTTTATAATCCAGTACATTATAGCATAGAATACCTTAGTTTTACATAAGCGACAGTAAGATAAAAATTTTAATAATTGTACTAAATAAAAAGTTGATTATCAACTAAAAGACAAAATATAAGGAAATAAATTAAATTTTTACAGAAATGAATAGTAAATAAGGGTTATAGAGAAGGGGGGGGGGGAGATATATATGGGAGAATAGGGGCATAAATATCGATGGTGAAAGGTTGACACATCTCAGATTCGCAGATGACATCGTCCTTGTCTCAGATAACATCGGAGAATCAAAACAGATGCTCGAAGAATTAGTACAGGCCTCATTAAAAGTCGGTCTCCGGATAAATACGAGTAAAACGCAAATAATGACAAACTTAGTGCTGATACAGAACATCAGAATAGGTGACGCCAACATAAAAGAAACAAAGTCGGTCTCCGGATAAATACGAGTAAAACGCAAATAATGACAAACTTAGTGCTGATACAGAACATCAGAATAGGTGACGCCAACATAAAAGAAACACATATATACAAATATCTCGGGCACGAAATACAAATCGGAAAGAACAACCAAACTGGGTTGGGCTGCTTTTGGCAAACTGCGGGAGACCTTTAAAAGTGATATACCCATATGCTTGAAGAGGAAAGTTTATGAACAATGCGTCTTGCCGGTAATTACATATGGAGCGGAAACTCTAACATTAACGAAAAAGTCAGCAGAAAATTTAAGAGTAGCCCAGAGAGCCATGGAGAGAGCCATGCTTGGAATAACTAAAAGAGACAAAAAACCAAAATTAAAGACATAGTGGAACACGTAACTCGAGTGAAATGGAGATGGGCAGGTCATGTGGCGAGAACATCTAAAGACAGGTGGACTAAAAGATTATTAGAATGGCGACCTCGAGCAGATAAACGTAGCAGAGGCAGACCACCGACGCGCTGGACCGATGATGTAAAGAGGATTGCTGGAAATTGGATGATGACGGCCCAAAATCCAGAGGCATGGAGAAATATGGAGGAGGCCTACGTTCAGCAGTGGACAACGATGGCTACATGATGATGATGATGATGCTAGAGAAGCCTTATTAATCTCAAAAATAGCATTTTTTGCCTTTCATTAAATTATTTATATGTATGAGCAAAAAAACAGTTTTTTACATTACAGTCCCTCAATATCCTTACAATAAGAGTATTGTAATTACGTCCATTTTTATTTCATTGAGGGGCGGGAAATTTAAAAATATAAACATTTATTTATTATAAACAGCAAGCAAAACATTTGTAATTTCCAGACTTGATATAATCTCCTTTTATACATCTATAAATGCTAACTTGAGAACTAATGTCAAATATTATTAAGTATCACATTTTGGGCAGAATGGCATCGTTAAATGAAACTGAACATATCGAAATTAATTAAATTGAATTGTTTAAGTGATATTTTCAAAAGTCAATAACGCGGAAACGGTTGGTATGAGGTACATTGTGTGTATTTCGATTTTTGCTTAGAATTTAAGGAAGAATTGAAATATGCAATAATATACAGGTTATATTTAAAAAAATGAAACTTTTATGTGCCACGACTTTATGACTCACCCTGTATACTTAAATGTATTAGTCGCTAATAGATATTTAAAAATCCTATAACTTTTTGCAGTACTTAACTTTTTGTCGACCGTTTCCATACATAACAGCGACCCTGTATTAACAAATACAATGGAACATGTGATATTAATTGTGGTATTTTTGTTTGCAGACTGTCACCACCGTAGCCGGTATCATTTCCTACCCCTTCGACACGGTGCGCAGGCGCATGATGATGCAGTCCGGCCGCGCCAAGAGCGAGATCATCTACAAGAGCACCGCCCACTGCTGGGTCACGATCGCCAAGCAGGAGGGCACCGGCGCCTTCTTCAAGGGCGCCTTCTCCAACGTGCTCAGAGGCACCGGCGGCGCCATCGTGCTGGTCCTCTACGACGAAATCAAAAACCTCATCGTCTAAGCCACGCTGTATCGCGCGCGTCACGCTACGTTACGTTCTTTTCTAACACTCCATCATCAGTTGAGTCGCGGCGGAAGGGTCGTTCAGTGAACGCGCCCCTTCGTCGCTTAGCTAAACAAATATATTTTCACTCCGTAGGCGCTCGGGTGCGTCCCCTAACCCAACGTGACACGCGAGGGTATTTTTTGAAACTAAAATCCACACACGTGCTGCCCATTTTCAGAAAACACTTTCGCTGGACGTGAAGGGGGACGCAGCCGAGGATTCAAGGGCTGTAAATAAATTTAGATGTAATAAATCTATTTATTTTTAAATTCCCGATTAAATAGTTTAATGAGTAACCAGTAAATTAACGCGGAAAATAATCGAAACTTGTGTAAGAGAGGATGAAGGCGCAAAATGCAAGTAGGTTAATTATTATCGTTTAAAATCGGCCGTTTTCGTATGGAAAATGGTCTCCAGAACTGCTCCCGTAGGTTTATGAAGTACTGTCGTCACAGATGGACCGAGTACCGGCAACAATAAGTAACGAGGGACATCAAAAGTTACAATCTGTTGATTATTATATTGTTTTATTATTTATCACCGCTAATAGGTGGTAAAGAATAAAAGATAATTACAAAAATACAACGTGTTTTTTTTATTTATTTACCCTTCTACGTAAAATCCGATATCTTTCAGAAGTTCTCAACAAATAACTCTCTAAATGTGTGTCTTTGAAATTATTAACCACAAGACTTCTAATACTTCCACTAGACGTACCTTCGTGTTTTAAATTATAACCTCTCTGGCTTTAATATTTCAGGAGGTATTGGTTCTACTCTCCGGCCTTAGAGTGATAAATACAGTACAGAGTAATATTGTACCCTAATATTATGTATTTAACTAAGATATTTCATAAATTAACACAGTTATTAAGTATTTTAATATAAAACCTCATCGTTTAAGCCACGGTCACACTGTATCGCGCGCGTCACGCTACGTTACGTTCTTTTCTAACACTCCGTCATCAGTTGAGTCGCGGCGGAAGGGTCGTTCAGTGAACGCGCCCCTTCGTCGCTTAGCTAAACAAATATATTTTCACTCCGTAGGCGCTCGGGTGCGTCCCCTAACCCAACGTGACACGCGAGGGTATTTTTTGAAACTAAAATCCACACACGTGCTGCCCATTTTCAGAAAACACTTTCGCTGGACGAAGGGGACGCAGCCGAGGATTCAAGGGCTGCCAAATAAATTTAGATGTAATAAATCTATTTATTTTTAAATTCCCTGGTTAAATAGTTTAATGAGTAACCAGTAAATTAACGCGGAAAAATAATCGAAACTTGTGTAAGAGAGGATGAAGGCAAAAATGCAAGTAGGTTAATTATTATTATCGTTTAAAATCGGCCGTTTCGTATGGAAAATGGTCTCCAGAACTGCTCCTGTAGGTTTATGAAGTACTGTCGTCACAGATGGATCGAGTACCGGCAACAATAAGTAACGAGGGACATCAAAACGTTCGTTGTGTTTGGGCTGTTTTTTAACTGTACCTAGCTATGGAGTGGAACAGAGAAAAGTGTTTAGAGTTAATTGATGAGTTTGAAAGGCGGCCTATTTTATTAAATTAATAATTAATTATTAAATTAATTAAATTCTTCTTATGCATATAATCTAGGTCACTAAGTAAGGCCATATTATATTGACGGAGCAAAAAGAGGCGTCTTGCCTACATTTTTCGTTCTTTACTTTTTTTCTCTTTTTTGTTACCCGCTAATGCATCAATAATTAAAAAAGCACCAGCGGCTAGGGTAATATCAGATGCATCCTTATCGACAAAGACACTAACACTCTGATTCACACACTGATTACTAGTGGGAACGCAGCGAACACCGCAAACAGGCGGAGCGCTCCGCGCAAAATGTTTTGTTGCAGGTCCTTCAGAGTTTTGTTGCAGATTGTTCGGAGTGCGCGGCGCGTTTGGTTTGTTCGGAGTGTTTTGTTGCAAGTGAATACGCACCTTTAGATTAACAATAAAAAATAAAACCGCAGGTAAAAGTTCCAGTGTTGAGTGACGACATACTTAACAGGGAAAACGTTAAGTGTAAACGGAACTTAAAATAAAAAGCTACTGCTTTAGATTATGCGGAAGCTAAAAGGCCTCCATACTTTAGATACAGGATTAGCTAAAAAAACTTCGTTTTCTTCGCTAAACAGTCTATTTGCTCTCAGCTACGTCTTTTAACACGGTCAGATTAGCGAAAACATTTATTATAACCCAAAGAAAGAATAACTTATTTTTTTAATTCTTTACATTAATTTATTTATTTTTAAAATTATCATCAATAGTTAAGAGGTTCACAATTAAATTTGAACTCTACAGGGAACTGAAATGTTTAAGCTCACTATATAAAAATAAATACTTCCAAATTTAATTATAAAAAGATATAAAAATTTGATTTTTTATTAATTATTTTTTTCAATATGCAACCCAAGAAACTCTACCATACCTCTGCCATCTAGTTAAAGGATCTTAAAAGCTTAGTTTACAGTTTCCGACTTATCTACAGTATCCGTAAATGTTGCTATTTCTCCATAGATGTCACATAAATCAAGATTAGCGACACCTACTGGAATCACAGCTAATTAAATTCAAATAAACGGCAAAAATAAAATTAAATTAAATTTTAAGATGGTAACCACAATATTTTAATTCAAGTTTAATAAAAAAGAAATATAATATATTAAAAAAATCGAAGGTTATTTTTTATTTTCTTTATTATCAATAATACATAAAATATATCGTACAAATTCTTAGAATAAATTATTTATAACTAATGACTAGCATGGAAAAAACAAGTATACATACAACAATTAGTACCATTTTCACAATATCTTTTACAATAATGTTAAAACCTCATATTGCAACATTACTTATTTTTTAACAATAATGATTTAAGGTTTTTTTCTCTTTAGGTTACTCAATTGAATTATTTATTAGATTTTTATTACTCAGTTATCGGATTAAGTGTAAATAAGAGTAATACCCTAGTAAAATACACAGGAAAATGCAATATATAAGTGCAATATTGATTCTATAGCTTCCATTTTCCGAATCTAATCTGAAAATAAACAATTTTTTATGGTCGTTTTCGGTGTTAGATGCCAGACACCTAGCCAGACATATTATTGCAAATATTGTTTGTTTTGTTCAGTTATATCAATCGCAGACTTATACAGTATGTCCCCGAAAATGTCTTTAAAAGAGAAAAAACTTTTTTATTAACATTTTGAGAAAAATACATTCTTCATAAAAAATTTTGCTTATTCTAAAATGGTTCCAAATTTTCATATCGCTTTAGAGAAAATTAAAAAACATGAAAATATAGTTGAATTTTTTTGAAGTCCTAAAAATCAAAACGCATATCTGTGGTAATAAAATTTCGGTTTCGTTCTTTGAAGGATAGTTATTGATAGAATTTTAAATAACGTCATATTTTTTGCTGTTTTAAGATGTTAAAGAAGCACAACATTTATTTGGTTGTTGATTAGAAAAGGTGATAATAATTATCGGAAAATGTGATACTTTATCAAGAGAAAAAAAGTATGACGTTAATCAAAATTAATAGCTAACCATCTATCAAAGAAATCTAAAGTATATTAGGTAGGTACCATAAAAATAACTTTGGATTTTGAGGACTTTAAACGTCAACCATAACAAAATTCAACCATAATTAATAATTTATAATAATCGGTATTTTACAATAATTGGGAATTTTTTTTAGAACAAACAAAATTTTTTATAGAGTATGCATTTTTCTCAAAATGTCAACTATAAAAAAGTTTTTCCACTTGTAAAAACAATCCTGGAACATACTGTAGATAAAAATCTATATACCAATAAATAAAAAAAAGTTGCGAAAAAATCTTTATCATATAATGAAATACTTGAAATACTTAAATCTTTATAAATACCGTATGATCGAAAAAAAAACGGCGTCAGCGATGGCTTGGAAACGAAGATCGCTATTATTTTATATGGGAAATGTCATCGATCGTCTGTTCCCAGCCAACTGGACGCCGTTTTTTTTTCGATTATATGTTATAGTAATAATACACGATCTTATACATACAGGGTGTCCCACTTAAGATGGATACAAGCCAATATCTTGATTGTTTGTTGAGCGATCTTTTTCATTTTTGGCAGGAGGTTGTATGACTATAAGACGAACATTTTGCCCAGGGTAAGGAATGCGATACCTCATAGACGTACGTTAAATGGGTTGATAAAGAACATTGTATAGATCTTAATAATTTAAAATTAATTAAACAAGTCTCAAATTACAGGCAATTAGATGCATATGAAAGCATCAGAATTAATAAATGTAAAGATAGTATGAACAGAGTCAACGGTCCAATTCCTTCAAGTTCTTTGTTCCTACTACTCTAGTGGCGGAAATTTAACTGTTACGCTCAGTTGGCTCTGACTCGGTTTGGCTAGATTTTGCCACGCCCACTCGGTGCCCACTGAGCGAGTATATAAACGCTCAACTTGTAGATTGTACTTTAGTTTATAATCATCTGCTGATGATGCTAACATGGTTAGCGAAACGCGCGTCCAGTGTAAAAGTAAAAGTGTTTTGGTGTATTGTGGTGATTTAGTGTTTTTATTTTGCTGTGTAACACCAAAGGTTCCAACCCTCAACTGTAATCAACTATAATGTACGTCTATGAGGTATCGCATTTCTTACCTTGGGCAAAATGTTCGTCTTATAGCCATACAGCCTCCTGCCAAAAATGAAAAAGATCGCTCAACAAACAACCAAGATTTTGGCTTGTATCCATCTTAAGTGGGACACCCTGTATATACGTTGATAAACTGCATAGCTTTTTTATGTTCACATTTGGTTAGGGTTATCTGGTCTGACATAATATTTTAAATATCTCCAAGTTTCTTTAGTTCTCTGAGTCAATGTCTGTTTTTACTACTCCGAGTGCGTTTTAAAATGTTTCTCCCGGTTATTGAGCGATAATACTGTTTAAAGAATTACAAAATCACGTTCACAGTCGATATTTCAATATAAATAACTAAACTATTACACATTTTTGTCACCTTCCATCACTGTGAATGTCCGGGCACTGCCCTTTCATAGGGTTTACTTTGGGAAAACTAAACAAATCATTGTCGATTTTGAGTTCTTTACAGCCGCACTCTGTGTGATTTTTCACTAGGATGTGATGCACCTCGTCTTCGCTATGTCCGAAAAACGATATGTCGAAATTCACGCAGACATCTTGTGATTCTTTCGGTTGGCAAGCCATTTCTTCGTCCAGTGCGTTTGTCGGACAGCAACTCAGCACTGAACTACATCTGAAACAAGTAGAATATACGTAAAAATATATTTTTTTGCACTGTAGTTATTTTTGAAATTTACACCACAGATAAAAGAAAATAATCTTCTATTAAGATCTTTGAATAAGAAGACTAAGGAAGGAGCATAATGCTATCCATGTATTCACGCATGGTGGGCGGAAAAGGCACCATAAAAGCTCTCTAGGGTGGGGATCCTTGACAGTTCTGTTTGACGATTCATTTGACACATTTGAATTTGATCTGAAATTTTGTGGATTTGTCAGTCTTTACGGAGCTGATTTTATGTTATTTATTATTTATTCTACTACTGATAGTTGTATAAAGGTAGTAAATCTAGATGGAAATTGTGGCAGAACTTAAATTAACAGTGACACTATCGCGATTTATCGAAAAAGACTCTAAAATAGTTGGTTGTGTAGCGTGCGGTAGATCTCGGCGAAAATTGAGTGAAATAATGGAACAACTTTTCGCTAGTAAGTGACTATATAATATACATGCGTGTAGTAAACCGATCATTTATGAAATTCACTTAAATTAACTAAATTATATATTTTTCTTGCATTTTAGCTTTTATTTATTACTTGTCAAAGATTAGATGTCAAAGAATTTAGATACGTTAATTTGACTTACCTGCTTCAGTAGCGTATCGGATGTTTGTGTTAATAAATACTTATTATAACTTATCTATTTTTATTAGAATTATATATTTTTATAACAATTTTAATAACTACCAACATTTATTCACAACGTAAAATAAAACAACAAATTATTGAGTCTACCCCACGTCTACCTACTATCATAGTTTTACATTTTTTAAATAAAATTAGAACGACACTGATAAACCGGAATTTAAGTCGGCCATATTTGAGGCCCATCGCGGTGTACCTAAGATTTTTGATATGCTCCTTCCTTAGTCTTCTTATTCAAAGATTAAGATAGATATGAAACTTAATAGTAAAATTTATGTCAAAGCACCCCTCCATGTTCTTAGTAGAGACTACGTTTAACCCAGCGTAACCCCATTTATGTTTATATTTGATTTCAAACGATTTAGTTTCAAAGTTACACTGATATATTAGTATATTAGAGTAACTTTAATAAAACATAAGAATATTATATATATTTTACAGTTTATTAAATATAAATTTTGACTACAAGGTAGAAAGTAAATCACAATATTTGATAAAACTTATAAGTATACCATTTTTACAGTTGATAAATAATAAAACTATTTCTGACTATGATATTTAAAATTTAGATAGATAGAATATTAAAAAACATACCGGTATTTGCAGACGCAGGCCCAAATTCAATAAAAACCAAAATTTTTCCTGCGAAAATCGGGCTTTTTTCACAGAAAAGGTATTTTTTGATTTATCAACAATCATTGTTAAGTTGACAATATACGGGGTGTTTTCTAATTAGTCTAAAAAATAGTGGTGTGATTCCTCATGTGTTCTTAAAACAATTTTTATATAACCATTAGGTCCAAAGTATTTCCTTTCTGATCTACAGGGTGTTAAAAATTAAAAAAAATCGATATTTTGCTTAACATAAATGGTACACTACTGCTTTTTTAAAGAAAATATATTTTTTTCTTGACTGGCCATCCTTTTTCAACAAAATTGATCTTTTGAGTTTTTCTTGTTCTTCAAACGGTTGCCGAGAAAAAAATAAATATACTTATTAAGAGCTCGCCTTAAGCCGTTTTCTAACGATTTTTTATTTTTTAGATTAATTAGGAAACACCCTGTATATGCATATCACAGGCAACCAAATAAACTAGTAACCTCTAAAAATTATTTTTTCTACCACTAGCGACGTACCGTGTTTTTAGTGAGTACTAAATTATTTTATCAAAATTTCACCATATAAGTTTCCAGGCAATGATTTACACCAAGCGTTTTCAGTCAAATGTATCACTGACAGAGCTGTAATATGTCAGTTTTAAAAAATGTTGTACGTTAGTATACGACAGAAATCAGGATTGATTTATGTCACTTCCTGTTTCACCGGAAATGAGTACAACTTTTGATTTTTAAATGGCGCTTTCGTTGTTTTTTTACTTTATTTGATACACTCTGAATAGAATGACATATCATATATGTCAACGTTTGATTCGCTTAAAAAAATATTTTAAATTTCATTCTACAGTGTCATGACTGTATTAGAAACACTAATTTTAATGAATGATCCTTGCAAAAATAAATGTTATCGTCTAATGTTTCTCTTGTGTTTTCCTGGCCGATTTAGAAATTGCCCAAATCGAATTTTTAATCATATCTCAATTGTTTCAAATGGAACGAGGGTGGCTCATTAGCATATTTGGAAAAAGCATTTTTTACGCATAATTTGGTACCAGACACATGGTATTTCGAGTCAAATTTTCGTAACGAACCGCATGTTACAACTTCAAATAAACCATATGCGAAAATGTCAAAAGTTAACATATGATATGTTAATATAACAATAATATTATATGTTTATTATTATTTTTTTTAGAGAACCTCTACACCCTAAAGTCAATCTGTTTTCCAAAAATCAGCTTTTTACGTCAAGCGTTTTAAGCAGGATCGTGATTAATCAATGACCAGATTTTTCGACACATCCTGTATACATTTTTAAAAAATCTTAAAATATGTAAAAAACAAAATAAAATATACGTGTTTAAGCATTTTTTCGGAAACTTGACCATTTTTTAAATAAAAAATATTGTAATATTTGAGGGGTGGTTTCACCCTCTTGGAACTGGAATTTCAAAAAATCCCTTCTTATCGAACCTCTACATCCTAGAATCGACCTGTATGTAAAAATTGAACTTCTTACGTTGAATGGTTTGAGTAGGATCGTGATTAATCAGTATGTCAGTCACTTAAGGATTTTATATATTAGTATAGATAGAGGTGAGCCACTTTTGGGAAACATCCGGTATATGTATTGCAAGTCTGTTTAATTATTTGAAGAAAACAGAATACCCAGACATAAATTCTGGTACAAAATATCTTGGAAAACTCGGAAACGACAACGGATTTTTAGTAATTACTTTATTTTTTGTCTCTTGTAAAAAAAACACCTTTTCGTAAAATTTTTGAGAAAAAAATATGTTTCACCGAACCTGACATTTACAAAAAATATTTCTTGTTACATTTAGCATTAAAATCTAGAAGGCTATAGTAATCTGGTTGCGAAAATTGATCAATTAACTTGTTCTGATTCCAAAAAGTCAGAGTAGTTCTATGTCCACGAAATCTTGGGACATTTTGTATATGAAAAAATAATTCTTGAACACTGTAATCGTTACCTGTGCAGAACAATTCTTGCTTTAGATTCGGGTACTTCCGAAATGCTCCCATCAAAATTCACCAAATTTCCCAAAAAATACACTACAGGCCTTGGAATACAAGGCAAATCAACTGGATAACACTGGTTCTGAAACGCGTTGATTATAACACTTCCAACACAACACATACAAGCCGCAAACACTATTAAGAACAGAGGAAAGTACTCCATACCGTCAAACGCCGGTACTACACTCATCTGCACAAGCTTCCTCCACACAGGTGAAGCAATAAATATTTTTCTGTATCACACATCGATGTCTGATTATTTATAGGAAATGCTTTACCACAAATCAACTTATTATCCATTTTCGAACTGGTTGTAGGTACGAACGGTGTGAATCACACTTGTACCGGCTGTAAATACGAGGCATTGCACAAGTTAGGTAGTGAATTTGGACGCAGGGTAGTACGGTGTCCAACAGAAACACAGCAGTCCGAAATGTAGAAGAACTAGAGACATTTTTGATAAAAAAAACTAAATTTTTGACGGTTAAACTTTCAACACTGTATATGTAGACGGTTTGAAGTAACAACGTGTAATGATTGTTTCTTTCAAAAATCAACACTATCGTTTAAAAGCAGTACCGGATTCAGGCCCACAGATATTTTGAAAAATAAATTAAAATAAAATGTTTTTTTTAAACAGACTTTTAAAGTTTGTTGCTGTTTGCCCGCTTAACAAATGATTAAAAATAAATTTATAGTTTTTTATTACCTGTACAGAACAATTCTGGCTTTTGCTTCTGGTACTTCCGAAATGCTCCCATCAAAATACACCAAATTTCCCAAAAAATACACTACAGACCTTGGAACACAAGGTAGATCAGCCGGATAACACTGGTTCTGAAACGCGTTGATTATAACACTTCCAACACAACACATACAAGCCGCAAACACTATTAAGAACAGAAGAAAGTACTCCATACCGTTACACGCCGGTACTACACTCATCTGCACAAGCTTCCTTCACGCAGGTGAAGCAATAAATATTTTTCTGTATCACACACCGATGTCTGATTATTTATAGGAAATGCTTTACCACATATCAACTTAATACCCATTTGCGAACTGGTTGTAGGTACGAACGGTGTGAATCACACTTGTACCGACTGAAAATACGAGGCATTGCACAAGTTAGGTAGTGAATTTGGACGTAGGGTAGTACGGGGTCCAGCAGAAGCACAGCAGTCCGAAATGAAGAAGAATTAGAAACATTTTTGACAAAAAAACTACATTTTTGACGGTTATACTTACAACACTGATTGTAGACGGTTTGAAGTAACAACGTGTAATGATTGTTTCTTTCAAAAATCAACACTATCGTTTAAAAGCAGTACTGGATTCAGGCCGACAGATATTTTGAAAAATAAATTAAAATAAAATGTTTTTTTTAAACAGACTTTTAAAGGTTGTTGCTGTTGGCCCCCTTAACGAATGATTAAAAATAAATTTATAGTTTTTTATTACCTGTGCAGAACAATTCTGGCTTTTGCTTCTGGTACTTCCGAAATGCTCCCATCAAAATTCACCAAATTTCCCAAAAAATACACTACAGGTCTGGGAACACAAGGCAGATCAGTCGGATAACACTGGTTCTGAAACGCGTTGATTATAACACTTCCAACACAACACATACAAGCCGCAAACACTATTAAGAACAGAGGGAAGTACTCCATACCGTCACACGCCGGTACTACACTCATCTGCACAAGCTTCCTCCACGCAGGTGAAGCAATAAATATTTTTCTGTACCACACACCGATGTCTGATTATTTATAGGAAATGTTTTACCACAAATCCATTTGCGAACTGGTTGTAGGTACGAACGGTGTGAATCACACTTGTACCGGCTGTAAATATGAGGCATTGCACAAGTTAGGTAGTGAATTTGGACGCAGGGTAGTACGGGGTCCAGCAGAAACAGAGCAGTCCGAAATGTAGAAGAACTAGTGGCATTTTTGACAAAAAAAACTAAATTTTTGACGGTTAAACTAACAACACTGAATGTAGACCAATGTAGACGGTTTGAAAGTTACAACGTGTAATGATTGTTTCTTTTGAAAATCAACATTATCGTTTTGGAAGCAGTACTGGATTCAGGCCCAATGATATTTTGAAAACTAAATTAAAATATATATTTTTTAAACAGGCTGTTAAACAGGAACGTTAATTAATTTCAAATTTATGAAGCTTATAAGTCATTTGTGACACTGGCATCACAAACTGGCATAACATTCACACTTTTCCAAAAAATTCTATATGGGTATTTCGCCACTGCAAGAAAAAGAACATAAAGATTATTTAAGAAAGGGAGATTTTCACAAATCTAAGATTTGTCAGCATTCATGGGACACAGGGCACAGAATAAATTTTAATAACGCCAAAATAAAAATCGCAAAATAAAACACGAAATCACCACAATACACCAAAACACTTTTACTTTTACACTGGACGCGCGTTTCGCTAACCATGTTAGCATCATCAGCAGATGATTATAAGTTATAGTGTTTTATTTTACTGTGTAACACCAAAGGTTCCAACCCTCAACTGAAAACGCGAAAATTGTAATGAAAGAAGCGTAATAAAAGAAAAATAAAAGAGGTTTTTTTAATACAACCTAATAAAAATAAATGTATTGCTCATGAATCTGTAGATGTTAGTAATGTATGGCAATTGCTTCTTTGATTTTAAAGACATAACATAAATAAACATAACATACGTAAAAATTAAAAATAATCATACAGAAAGTTTGGGGCTTTTTGGTTTTACCTTATTATGTAATTGTTATGAGGTAGTAATTGATAATTTTGAAGTTTAACTTGATATAATGTCATTTTAACAGAACGATATTTTGATATTTCGATAGAAAATGACACTCTGAATAGAATGACATATCATATGTCAATTTTTGACATTTTTGTTTAAAAAAATCGTATTTAAAATTTCAATCCAGAGTTCCACGGCTGTGTTAAAAACACTAATTTTTAATCAAGGTGCCTTGGAAAAATAGAATGCTTATGGTTCATTAGCATATTTGGAACAAAATATATTAAACTTTAAAATATATGAATATTTTAAGGTGTCCGTTTTTCGTGCCTGTGAGCGTATTACACAAACATTGAAAAAATATAATTTTTTTTTGGAAAATTTTTATTCTTTTTAGATTTTCGTGTTTTTTGTGCATTTTATGATTAGTTGTTATTAGTCTATTAATCTGGAAAGACATTGTTCCAGGACTTAATTTACACTAAAATTATTAAAAATTTTAGAAAAAAATGCTTCAAATTTCGATCTCAGACAAAATTGAATGTATGATTATGATATTTTGATGTAGAGCCGGTCCTGCAACTTTCACAAACATAAAAATCGAAAAGTTTATCAAGGGGTCAACTGAATTAAAATATATTAATACATATGCAAAGTAAACCTACCCATTTCAATGCTAAACAACTTTTCTACATTAATCATTAAACGTAAGGTGTAAAAAATATATTCGTGTTTATTTGCTTATCTTAATGCAACTTTTAAGAAAAATGCGTTGAAAGGTACGCGATAAATACAATAAAAACACATTTTTGTAACATTGTAATGTCTGTAATTAATATTGTTTTGTTAAAAATTAGTATTTAAAAATATCTGCATTATTTTATCGCTTTGCAAAACTTATCTAATTAGTTTGTTTTTTTACGTCGAACTAGAATAATAGGCACATAAATTTAAGTTACAGTGTTGATAACTGAAGAATTTATATTTGGTTCTGTAAAGAAATATTCTAAAATTAGACATGAACATTTTGTTAGATCACAGCCCTGTTATTAGTTGTTACAATTGAGGTTTAATATTTTTACAATTAATTGTTAAATCAAACGGGTTCCTAGGGTTCAGAACCGGGAAATCCCGGTACTTTCAGTACTTTCGGGATTCAGTAAAAATAATTCTAAAATACTTTTCAACATTAATCTAATTTTTTTGAAATGTTGAATTTGTTGAGCTATAATGTCTTAAATTACTATATTAACAACTAATATACAGGTTGAATCTTAAATAAATGTAAATATTTTCAGGACTGATATATCTCGACAAAAGAAACATGTCCAAAATAAACCAGATATTATTTTACTCCAAAAATTTAATAAGAATTGATTTATGTTTTAATCTCAGTGCAGTATCTTAAAAATAAAAAAAAAAAATCCAAATTTTTTTTCAAAAAATTCCAAATTATCAATTTTTGCGAAGAAAACCTAATAGATGTGTTTTTGGGGTCGAAATATGTATAGTACTCACCATGTATAAGTTTATTATTTTTTTATAAATAATAATTATAAATACTTTTAATACAATGAAAATTAATGTTTTTGAATAATTACACAATTTTACAATACACCAAGAAATAAAATTCATAAAATATTTATTGTCGTCAATAAAAAAATTCTTCTAGTGGTCAGGGATTTACAGAACTACTTAATATGTAAATAAACGCCTTTCTATATCTTGAAATAGACTTTTTTCTTGCAAAGTGTTAAATTAATGCATATATGTATCTATTTTTATATGTGAATATTTTTATTTTTGAGTAAAGTAATTATGAATTATATTTTTAATTTTTTTTTTCAACTAACAAAATAATCTAGAAACAAATTACCAACAACATAAATTATATTGTTACGAAAAGTACAAATTTTGTCTATTAAAAGTAAGTTTTTTATTTAAATAATAAATTGTCAACCACCATACTGATATTTCTTGAAAATACCTATTGATTTATTCATGGTTTGCGTCAATTACTTCATTTATTTTTATAAACGAGTTAAATTCTATAAGTTGACATATTTAATTCAAATAATTCTATGATTTACGTCAAATATAGACTGTATTAAAAAAGTATCACGTACACTTTTTCTGTCAAACCCTTGAAGCCACCCGAATGGTAATATTTTTAGCAATAATAATAATTAGTGGTATTATTTTAGTCAAAGAAATATCACATTGAAATTTTACTGTACTTTCGAAACTACTATAGTACTTTAAAAAGTTTAGAATGTTTAGAAAGTATAGAATGTATAGAAAGTATAGAAAATATAGAAAGTATTGAACGTATAGAAAGTGTGGAAAGTACAGAAAGCACAGAAAACATAGAAAGTATAGAAAGTGTAGAAATTATAGAAAGTATAGAAATTATAGAAAGTATAGAAAGTATAGAAAGTATAGAAAGTATAGAAAGTATAGAAAGTATAGAAAGTATAGAAAGTATAGAAAGTATAGAAAGTATAGAAAGTATAGAAAGTATAGAAAGTATAGAAAGTATAGTAGGAAAAGAAAGTATAGAAAGTATAGAAAGTATAGAAAGTATAGAAAGTATAGTAGGAAAAGAAAGTATAGAAAGTATAGAAAGTATAGAAAGTATAGAAAGTATAGAAAGTATAGAAAGTATAGAAAGTATAGAAAGTATAGAAAGTATAGAAAGTATAGAAAGTATAGAAAGTACAGAAAGTACAGAAAGTATAGAAATTCTAATCTAGAAGTAGAGGAAGTCCTAGTTATACCGGGTGTTTCTCAAAAATAGCTTAACCCCTATAACCCCTATTCCTTTCAGATAAAAAAATGAGATTTGAAATATTAGTGTATAACATAAATTAAGATTGATTGACGTATACAATTGTTTTTGGTCACTTCCTGTTTTACCGAAAATGATTATAACTTTTGATTTTTTAATGGCACCCTCGGTATTGTTTTAATTTATTCGATCGAAAATGATACTCTGAATAGAATGACATGCCGCATGTCAATTTTTGACATTTTCTCTGAATAAAATCGTATTTTAAATTTCAGTCTTGAGTGCCATGGCTGTGTTAAAAACTCTAATTTTTAATCAAGGAGCCTTAGAAAAATATATTTGATCGTCTAATGTTTTTTGTGTCTTATCTTGACCGGTTCGTATGTGCTGCTCAAATCGTATTTTTAATCATATTTTTTATCTCAATTTTTTTGAGGGTGTAATTTAAAAATCAAAAGTTGTTGAAAACATACCAAATCTCGTTTTTTTTTTTCTGAAAAAATTAGAAAGTTATAGGGGCCACTTTTGAGAAACACCAGGTATACTACTCTCTTTATTTTGTTCCGTAGATATTATATTTTATTTTAAATTAATATATATTAAATTATATATTACACCATTTGAACTCATATTTATTTTATTTTTTCCTAAGTTATACAAACTTTCCCATTTTATAAACTATTATCCCAATTTAATCCAATTTCTGGATATGCATTATGAATAAAAAATACCTCTACATTTATTAATATAGCATTAGAAAATTATCACACTTTGACTCATAAAACTTTAAATTACTTCCAAATTGCTCAAGAAAAAAACTATATAAATTGATATACCCGTCTTGAAACCGTTCAAATCCGAAAAAAATAAAAATGTACGGATTTGATTTTAAGACGCTTTTTCAACAAGACCATTTCAAAATGAAGTTTAGCGGTTTATGGTTAGACCAGGATAAGAAATGCCCTATATGGTTTAAAGCTTACTCTATTATCATCTTAGTTTTTGGTCTATACACAGTAAATTTCTTGCTTTTCATCAACTGGATCATAGCTATCAACAGCGACATCAAGAATTTCGCTAGCATGTGTTATATTATCATGATCGTGCACATGGGCGAGCTAAAATCTCTGGTACTTCTGAAATACAGAAAAGACTGCTTTAAAATGGTTAGGATGTTCCAGCATGAGACATTTCAACCGAAGACTTCTGAAGAATTAGAGAAGGTAAAGGAAGTTTTAGGTAACTTTACCAAACTGAAAAACTGGATGACAGCAGCAAGTATGGGAGCCGCAGTACTACTCGATACTTTCCCGTTGTTTCACGAAGACAAATACAAGCTGCCAATGTCTGTTTGGTACCCAATCAATATAAATTACAGCCCCTTGTTTGAAATTATGTACTTGCACCAGGCCATCAGCATTGTGGCAGTGACTACTCTCAACGTTTATACCGAAGCTATGATAATGGGGTTTTTAACGTTTGTCGGGTTGCAATGCGATCTGTTATCTATGAGAATAGAGAATCTTGAAGAGTTTTCTAAAAAGAATTTGGAGGTTTTGATCAAAAACCATTGGTTTATACTGAGGTAACTGGATTTTTATAAAATCGCTACGTAAGATTTCTATTGAAACTAAGAGAATATGTCTATTTATTTTGATTAACACAACGTTTGAGAAGGATCACTGACCGTTATCAAGTGTAAATTAATCTAATTCCTAAAACTACAGCAAGTTTTTCAACCGCGAAGTTGGGTGTAGTCAACCGCGTGAGAGAGAGAGAGAGAGAAAGAGAGAGAGAGAGATATTTTTCTCTCTTTCTCTCTCTCTCTCTCTTATTGAATGACTTAATGACTTCTTAATGATAATTGTTCAGTTTTAATATATTCTTTTGATGATAATAATGTTATTTAGTAATGAATTTATACTCTCCAATCCAAGAATCAGACTTCTTCAGCTAATGGTAAATTGCCGATGGACATATACCATCCAGTTCAAGAGGACCCAGTTCAGGACAGTTTTCTCATTATAATTCTGTTTTAGTATATTCTTTTGATAATAATAATGTTATTTAATAATGAATTTATATCCTCCAATCCAAGAATCATTCTTCTTCAGCTAATGGTAAACTGCTGAAGGACAAATGCCATCCAGTTCAAGAGGATCCAAACCAGGAGAGTTTTCTCGTTATAATTCGGTTTTAGTATATTCTTTTGATGATAATAATGTTATTTAGTAATGAATTTATACCCTCCAATCCAAGAATCAGACTTCTTCAGCTAATGGTAAATTGCCGATGGACATATACCATCCAGTTCAAGAGGACAGTGTTCTCATTATAATTCTGTTTTAGTATATTCTTTTGATGATAATAATGTTATTTAATAATGAATTTTTACCTTCCAATCCAAGAATCAGACTTCTTCAGCTAATGGTAAATTGCCGATGGACATATACCATCCAGTTCAAGAGGACCCAGTTCAGGACAGTTTTCTCATTATAATTCTGTTTTAGTATATTTTTTTGATGATAATAATGTTATTTAATATTGAATTTATACCCTCCAATCCAAGAATCAGACTTCTTCAGCTAATGGTAAATTGTCGATGGACATATACCATCCAGTTTAAGAGGACCCAGTCCAGGACACTTTTCTCGTTATAATTCGGTTTTAGTATTTTCTTTTGATGATAATAATGTTATTTAATAATGAATTTATACCTTCCAATCCAAGAATCATACTTCTGCAGCTAATGGTAAACTGCTAATTGACAAATAATGCCATCCAGTTCAAGAGGATCCAAACCAGGAGAGTTTTCTCGTTATAATTCGATTTTAGTATATTCTTTTAATGATAATAATGTTATTTAATAATGAATTTATACCCTCCAATCCAAGAATCATACTTCTGCAGCTAATGGTAAACTGCTGATTGACAAATAATGTCATCCAGTTCAAGAGGATCCAAACCAGGAGAGTTTTCTCTTTATAATTCGGTTTTAGTATATTCTTTTAATGATAATAATGTTATTTAATAATGAATTTATACCCTCCAATCCAAGAATCATACTTCTTTAGCTAATGGTAAACTGCTAATGGACAAATGCCATCCAGTTCAAGCGGACCCAGTCCAGGACAGTTTTCTCGTTATAACTCGGTTTTAGTATATTATTTTGATAATAATAATGTTATTTAATAATGCATTTATACCCTCCAATCCAAGAATCAGACTTCTTCAGCTAATGGTAAACTGCTGATGGACAAATGCCATTCAGTTCAAGCGGACCCAGTCCAGGACAGTTTTCTCGTTATAATTCGGTTTTAGTATATTCTTTTGGTGATAATAATGTTATTTAATAATAAATTTATATCCTCCAATCCACGAATCATACTTCTTCAGCTAATGGTAAACTGCTGATGGACAAATGCCATCCAGTTCAAGCGGACCCAGTCCAGGACAGTTTTCTCGTTATAATTCGGTTTTAATATATTCTTTTGATGATAATAATGTTATTTAATAATGAATGTATACCCTCCAATCCAAGAATCATACTTCTTCAGCTAATGGTAAACTGCTGATGGACAAATGCCATTTAGTTCAAGCGGACCCAGTCCAGGACAGTTTTCTCGTTATAATTCGGTTTTAATATATTCTTTTGGTGATAATAATGTTATTTAATAATGAATGTATACCCTCCAATCCAAGAATCATACTTCTTCAGCTAATGGTAAACTGCTGATGGACAAATGCCATTCAGTTCAAGCGGACCCAGTCCAGGACAGTTTTCTCGTTATAATTCGGTTTTAATATATTCTTTTGATGATAATAATGTTATGTAATAATGAATTTATACCCTCCAATCCAAGAATCACACTTCGGGGACTTGAATCGGGGACTAAATTTTTGATATAAATATGCCCAAAACAAAACAAACGGTTTTTTTACATTTCGCTTGTATATGTTGGATCAAAACAAATCAATGTATAGGATTGTTCAATCTTTTATTTTATGTCTGTGATTATTTTTTTTTTCAGATTATTCAAACTTATAAAGAATTTAGCTGGCAAAATCTATTTCACCCAAATATTTGCCAGCACAATAACCTACTGCATGGATATGTATCTATTAACGATAGTAAGTTATAACAAACAATAAAAAACTAGTTTAAAATTTAGTTTAATACAAATATTTTAGATGGATATATGGTCCGTCGAGTATTTGTACATTTTGACTTATCAATTGGCTGTCATTGGTATGTTTATGATTCCTTGTTGGCTCTCAACTGAAATGACCTTAAAGGTATCTGGTAGATAGTTAAAACTTTGTTTATTGTATACTTCTTCTTTTAAGTTTGTTTTGTTTATTGTTGTTTCTTTTTCTGTTTTTTTTTCAGAGTGAACGAATCGCTGTGGCTCTGTACAATTGTAACTGGTTTGCAGCCAGCGAATCCTTTAAAAAGGACATGATGTTTTTTATGATGCGAACCCAAAGACCGTTGAAGCTACTAGCGAACGACTTCTTTTATGTTTCTTTGGAGTTATTTTTGAAGGTACTTTGTTAATATTTTTATATAGAAAATAGTAAATTAGTAACTTCTAAATTTTCTAGATTTTCTAGACATTATAATATTTTGTTTATTACTGGATTAGACGTGTAATTCTTGTTCATACCGTCCTGATGATTATTTGCGTATCAACTGCCTTTATCCAATTCTAATAGTGACGTTTAAAAAAATTTAATGTCATTAACTTGTCAAAATATGGTATATACAGGGTGGCGCACCTCATTCGCCTCGGTTAAACGGAAAGATGTAGAAAGAAAATATTCCAGAATAATAAATGCCTTTTTTTGGACCTACGAATCCAAAAATGAAATAAAATACAGGGTGTTCCATAAGGAAAAACATAACTTTGGTATAGATCTTAGTTCTGAAACACCCTGTATATTTCAAAATAATTTTAAATTGTGCACATTGCCTCCCCACATATGCCCATAAAATAATTTGTTTCTACATCTTTCCGTTTTCGTATAATCAACCGAGGCGAATGAGGTGCGCCGCTCTGTATATATATAAGTAGTCATTGATTCCTCATCGAAAAATATAAAAAAAAGTTCCTATAAACATGGGTGCATAGTTTTAAAGTAACAGGATGTTAAAACTTTTAAAAAAGAGGCATTTTGTAATTATCTTAAATACGTACCATTATGTTTTGGGGAAATTTGTTGTACATACTGTACATGATGTATCACATGTTAAAGTGCTTAAAAATGTCACTTTATTAAAGAATCTAAATTATTTACTTATTTCATTAATAGAATCAGAATTTATTTACCCCTTTTTACGAATGACACGTTATCCAGGTATTGTTTTTTTTTAATTTTAGATGGTACGTACGTCACTGTCTTACTTCGCAGTTTTGATGAATATCGATTCGTCATCCCCCAGGAACTTTTCGATATAACAATGATTCTTTTTGATCCAGCACCGGTGTGAATAAACCAGGAAAAAATGTAATGATCCACCTAAATAAATAATAAATCATATGAGAGCAACACCTTTTTTTTTAATAATAAATTTCCTTATTTGAACATTATATAAAATTGATATAAATATATGGAACGGATATAGATTGTTATCAAATCTTGAGTCATGATGACAGTGATAGAATGAATAATCTCAATTGAATAATCACATGTATATCCTAAAATTTAGATATTTCTTTTCGTCTCATTTAGATATAACCAGAGTTGTTAAACTACACGTAGTAATTAATAAACTACATTTACTACATGTCACAAGTAGTAAACCGTAGTAACAAGTAGTAACAGTGAAAACATAACCTAAAAACTTTGTTTGTTGATCAATTTAAAGAAATAATAAATCTATATTTTGTGAATTTGTTCCTTATTATATGATATTTTTGATACTTAGTAGTTAAAAATGCTTGGCAGAATTATTATTTTAATATTTTAATACAATACATATCTCTCTCTCTCTCTCTCTGTCTATCTTTATTCTTACAAGAGGAATGTAGTGGTCAGGTGATGTGTGAGGTTTGTCTCCATAATTCCCTGTCTTGTGCTTCATGTACAAGCGTGTGCAGTGGCTTGTGGGTGATCTTTGATAGCTGGTCTATCCAGCGAGCGGCCTCTTGGTCTTCTTTCCGGAACCTTGCCCTGTATAATGAGCTTTTCCATACAGTCAGTATCCCTCCTCATAACGTGACCGAAATATTTAAGTATACGTGACTGTATAGAAGTTGAGAGGCGTTCTGTGATGTTCAGTTCTTGGATTATGGATTCATTGGTTCGCCGGGCAGTCCAGGGAATTCTGAGCATCTGTCGCCAACAGTACATCTCAGTTGCGTCAATTTTTTTCATTTCTGACTGTCTCATCGTCCAGGACTCGGAGCCATACATTAATATAGGAAATATTAGGCAGTGAACAAGCCTTTTTTAAGTTTAGATATGTTTTTGTCTCGCCATATCTTTGAGAGTTTTCGCACTGCCACTCTTGTCATTTCACATCTTCTTCTTATTTCGCCTTCTTTCGCCAAATTACTGAGTTATAACCAATTCTTATCTTTCTTGATTTATTTCACTTAGTTAGCCATGGAAACAAGTTGAATCGTCGTTGCTCTCAGAAATGTGAAATTGTCACATCCGATCTTTGTAAATTAAAATAAACAAAAATTGTAAATAAAAAATTTTCAAATGAAGAAAAGCGTGTAGGATTATTGGTTCAAATTATCTTGCATGGCCATACAGTTTCGAGGATACGTTGACCGGTGAAAGTTACTTACGTTTTTTAGAGAACGATTTTCAATAGTGTTCTAATTTTGTTATGATTTATAACTTACAAAAAGACAAAATATATTATTAAACGGCTCTTTACAATTTGCATTACACAAACTAAAACTTAAAAAATAATATCACTACAAGTTATTTTAGAAAATTTTCAAAAAATCCGCAATTGTTTTGAGTACATAAATGCATCTTTTTAAAACTGCATTTCTGGCTATTCTCACAGAACGACCGGTCGACTTAATTAAACTTCTCCTGTTTCGCCTCTTCGAGTGCTTCTCTCAATTCATAAGTTCTTTTATAAACCATGTTGTTACCCATACCGCATAAAAAAAAATCTAAAATGGATAGGTCAAGTGACCGAGGAGACCCATGCAATTGGTCCATCTCTTTCTATCCCTGAGTCTACATAATTATGATATAAATAATTTTTAACATTTCTTTTATTGTGGGGGGGGGGTTTAGTGTGTCATAATGAAAGTCATGTTTGAGCCACTGCTTAACTTTTCTAACATGTCTTGAAAACCGTTCTCTAAAAAACGTAAGTAACGTTCACCGGTCAACGGCCAACGTATCTTCGAAACTGTATGGCCAAGAAAAGTTGAACCAATAATCCTACACGCTTTTCTTCATTTGAAAAACTCTTATTTACAATTTTTGTTTATTTTAATTTACGAAGATTGGATGTGACAATTTCATATTTCTGAGAGCAACAACGATTGAACTTGTTTCCATGGCTAAGTGAAATTAGTCGAGAAAGATAAGAATTGGCTATAATTCAGTAATTTTGCGAAAGAAACATATTATAGCTTATATCGCTGAAAAGCTTAAAAAATGGCACTTTTTATGAAGTCATGGTCAACTATGGTTTCCATTTAATAAAACATATGTTTGTGTCATATGTCAAAAATGACAGGCTTTAGAAAAAGTCGGAGAACACAATCTCACTAGGGATGTGATTATCTACAACTTTTATCTGAAAACTTTTTGTCTAAAATAGATTATAATGGAATTAGGGACAATTTTTAAAATAGCTTGTTTTTTTTCGAAATATCTAGTAAGCCATGAACTTGAAAAATCTGAAAGGCGCATATTTATGACCCCACAAGACTGCAATTCTTTCCCCATTTAACCGACTCTCTATCTCCAGTAGTTTCCGAGATACCCATAGAGAACATCGTAGGAAACTCACCCTGTATATTGAATAACTGAGGAGATAGTATGCACCCCTGCCTAACACCACAGGTAGGCTGGAAGTCTTCCGAAGTAACGTCATTGATGGTAATTCTACTTTTGGTATTTACATAGAGATTCTGGATCAATGAAATCAAATGAAGAGGCACGCCCATTTCTTTAAGAACCATCCATAGTTTTGACCATTTGACTTTGTCAAAAGCTTTTCGATAGTCTATGAAAAAAATATAGAGCGGATTGTTAAATTCTCGGGCCTTTTCGATAATCTGACGGACATTCAAAATTTGTTCACGTGTTCCTCGACCTCTTGTGAATCCTGCTTGCTCTGGAGGGATTTGTGGTTGAATATACGATTTTAACCTTTCGTTAATGATATGAAGAAGAATCTTACTGGCATGTGAAATTAGCGCAATGGTACGAAAGTTGTAGCATTTGGCTGGAGATCAACAATCTTTCCAATCTGATGGCCATTGGTGAGTATGCCATATCATATTACATAACTTGTGCAACATGTCCACACCAAAATCTCCCGACGCTTGGAGCATTTCGGCCGTGATGTGATCTGGTCCCGGGGCTTTATGATGTTTTAGGTTTTTTATTGCTGCTTCAATTTCCGATTTCAGTATGTCTGGTTCTTCATTAATTATATCACTGTGGAAAGAGCAACTAGGCTGAAGATCTTTTTCGTTATACAGTGTTCTTAATACATATACCTATAAGCATTTCTAATATAACTATTTTTTAAAATTGTGTTGTGTGTTAAAAATTAATATTATTAATTTTTAATGTCTTGTAAGCCTACTATGTTTTCCAACTTTCAATTTATTACAAAACCCAAGAAAGGAAAAAAATTATATGGATATAAAAAGAAGTTCGCCATTGTTGTATAATATTGGATTTAGTTCTAGAATGACTGTAGGTATTTGATCGGAAATTAATCACAAAAAAAATTGACAAATAAAATATAAGATTTTATCTATTTGTATTAAAATTAAAACAAATAAAACACACTTGGATAGATCTATTTTGTGAATCATACCGGTTGATGAGCTATGTAGCAAATTATTTAAAGATATTAACCATGTAGTTGAACAATTTATTTGTACAATATATCATAATGTAGGTACTACAAAATGTTATAGTGTTCAGAGTTTAAAAGAATGTTACCTTTGGTACTAGATACGTCAAAGATGTTAGTACTGTGTCAATACTGTATTTAACTGTAATATTAGTAATTAATAGATACAGACACAAAGTTCTAAGAACATTCTAAAATTAAGAAAAAAAATATACAATTTTATTTACAATAAAATTAACAATAATTACGATTAATTATACTAATGTAATAATATATTGTCTATTTAATAATATAATAAACCTAGGTCTAAACCTAGCCTAACTAAGAGATAATAATAAATAAGAAAGTACCGTGTGGTCGAAAAAAAAAACGGCATCGAAGACGACTGGATCGATGACAAACTCTACAAAAAAATAATATTTTCTTCATGTAAAAATAAATTACAACCTCCTTAAGGCCAACTGGCAGTAAGCGATATTAAAAAATAAAGAACAGTACGGGCCAAGTAAATAACGTCTAAGGCTTGACCTCGCCAAATCTCTTATCGATTGCCATTCCCCAGCCGTCTTTGACGCCGTTTTTTTTCTCGATCATACGGTATAATTATATAAACAAACTCTTGGCACTTTGGCAGCGTCTAATCACATCTAGAGTTGGGTCCAATCAAATCTGACTCATAAAAAAAATGAACATACTTATATATGTCATCTGTCACAAAAATAGTGTTTTAAGTGTTGTGCTAAATAGTTATATACATATTTTTTCATAGGTATAAATTTCGAGAAACTATACAGTGTGTTTCACTGTCTTCACTCGTTACAGCCCACTTCAGATGACCAATTGCACATGCCCCCTATTGGATCAAAACTAAGGCCTTTTGGACACGTGTATTCCCAGCCAATAATTCTTCCTTTCTCCATACGAGCACAAGAGATGAACTTCTTGCAGGAAATTGGGTGAGGGAAGTTACCCTGATCCAGACAGACCAGGGAACCGTCGCTGTGTAACAGTACTTTGCTGTTTTCTGGAATTTTATCTGAAACAATACAAAATTATTGTCTACAGGGTTGTTCACCACATACGACACGGAGTATTGTAGCTAAATGATTAGATTTTTAAAAATTGTAAATTTTGCTTTCGTTGAAGGACTATTAGAGCTACAATTTAAAAATATTTTTACAAGATACAGAGTGTAATGTTAAACGACATTACAGAGCGTAGAGATCTTAACAGATACGAAATGCAAAGGGCCATGGGTATGCTCGAAGCTGGAATGCGCCAAATCGACGTAGCTAGAGCATTAAATACAACGCAAAGTGTAATATCGCGATTAAGTGCACGCTACCGTGGAAGTGGTGATGTTGCTGAAAGGCACACAGGGCGACATCCCATTACTACCCCTCGGCAAGATCATTTTTTACAATTAAATGGCCGACACCGACCGACTCTTACAGCACCAGAGCTTA